AGTCTCAAAGGCTTTAGTTTAAGACTGTAACTTCAACGGGAAAAATTAAAATAACACAGCTTTTATCCACCATTCCTAGAGTTGATCGAGCTTAGCCTAACCATTGACAATGATTCTGAAAAATGAAAGCTGCAACCAACATCTGCACGTATGCACGTTTCATTAGTTGCGGGTATAAGTACAAGAGAACCTAAAAATAAAAACAAGCAAACAATTTCAGGCGTGGTAAAAACTGGAGTAACCAGGTCGAGATTACTTTTAGTCACGCATAAAATTTGTTGAGAAAGTGTCGCGAGTTTTAAGGAACAATCATAGGGAATAGTGAAGCAAACCAACGTAACCCTTGATCTCTTTTGATAGTCAATTGAACATCGCTCTAATTAAACTTTTCGATTTAGTCCCTTTATTTCATGGAATAGCCTACAGGATTAAGGTGATTCCTCAGAAAAAAAAGTTAAAGAACAGTTTTTTCAAACTTTCCTTAAATGTCCCTACCAACGTCTATTTCGAAACTGATACATATAAAAAGATAGTTCACTGTGCTTGTTTAAGAGATGACGGGCTTTAAGGTTAAAATTTAATTTGCATCATCGAGTAAGAGGCTTCGTGAACCCTTTTCCCTATATCTTTTTTCCCTCTGATAAATTTTTTTTTAATTTCTCCAATTTAAAGAGGACTATTTGTACACCAAAATTACGCAATAACAACCATAGGTCACCTTGCTCGTTCAAGATGTAATGACTACCTTCCTTCTCATCCTTGTTTATTTCACGCTGACCACCGCTTCGATTAAATTGAATTAGCATTAGAAAAGCATTTGCTTAAGTATGTTTTGCTTTTAGCCAATAGAAACATCACACTACACGGGCATATATGACCACCATCTTGATATGTTTTGTTCTTCGTTTAACATTGATTTCCAAGTAACTTCTGCGTTAAAAATACAATAAACAACGTGAAAATGAAATAAAGGATGTCCCGCTCGTTTCATTAACTTTCAATTTAAATCATTAAACTTCCTGGTGTTCTTGATACAAGTAAATCCCGCCGCTATTTGAAATATTTTCGTTAAACCTGTTTTGTTTCGCCCTCTTCCATTCGCTGAGCTAATGTATTCACTCTGACGAATAGCTAACATTCCAATTAAACCAATTTATCTGATTACAACCTTGCCAAGTAAAGCTGTGGGAACTGAGAAAATTTTTCTGATTTGAGAATATCTGTTCGTCGTTGCAATTGTAATGAAAATTTTCAAAATTTATGTTAAATCTCGCAAAGATTCACTAAAAACCCAGTTATTGGTTAAAACTCGACATTGATCAGAATGAACCATCTTTAAACCATTCGCTGTTGGTTGATCGCATTCCCATACCTCTTGAACAGTTCACTCTAAGATTCTGCATCAAGACTAAAAAAACCAAGCGCAAAAGTGTGGAATTCGACTTGCCGAAACATTTTTAGTGTAGCTGTTATAATAATTTCTATAAAACTTGATTGCAGAGTGAATCATATTATAATGTTATTTCTGAGTGACTGCTGTGTTTTTAACGCGTTCCGATTGTTCTCGCAGTCTTGTTACCACATTCTGATGTACTAAGATTGTTAGCGGGCTTCCCTGTTTGTTCAGTTTCGCGCCCTTTTGATCACATGACCTCTGTAACCTAGTAATGTCCCGTGTGTGAATCGGGTAAATTTTAACCGTTGGTAGTATGGATACACAATAGGAAAGTTTGTTTTGTTTCCTTTTTCTTTCGACGTAGAAACCAATAAGAGAAAGTTTCATCCATACAGAATTAAACGAAAAAGTCATCTCCCTCGCTTATCTATTGGTATTTTCTCATATACTGCAGGGGTCAATTTAATAAAACTTCTACACTCGTAATCTACAAGTTGGACCGTTATATATACAAGTGCAGACGAAAACGAGTTTAATAAACATCGTAACAAGTCCAGGTTACAAGTGTCCGACTTGTAATTACAGGTGTAGCGCTACAAGTGTAAAAGATGGTAAGTATCCAATTTAATAAAACTTTTACAAGAGTCCAACTTGTATTTTTACAAGAGTTCGACTTGTAAACCACAGCTGCAAAATACATGTCGCATGTCACTTTAAAACACTGAGTACTTCTTCTGAAAAAGGACATGGGAGTGTCACAATATGTCATCTTCTTGTGAAGAGGAACTCGACGAACTGCTAAGACGTCAAGTTATCCGTCGACCTAGGAATTTCCAAAACAGACGGCTTTTCGACACCGAAAATCCAAGGGAATTTCGAGAGAAGTTTCCACTGCCTGTGGACACCTTCGTCCACATCTGCTGGACGATGCAGATCTCAACAATGTCCACGATGAATTGGATATCGGTCCTGGAGAGGAACAAGAGGACAGAAGGCAGCAGCTGTTGCAGCACTTCCTATAAATGTGAGGTCTAATAGAAATGACGCTGAATTCAAAACTGCCACCGTTTCAATATCGTGCCAATTAAATCGGCCATTTTTTATTGAATGACGATAATCATTACGTTTTATTGCACAAAGTCACTTACACCTAACTTCCAAAGGAAAAAATGAGTGTACATGTAGGTCATAATTCTGATATCGCCCATCACCAATTTACAGTATTCCTTAGACTATCAATAGCATTACAATATAGTAAGTTCGACAAATGTCCAAAGGCTACTCTTATATAATTCTTTTAATTTACATTCTGGACGCCGTTTAATGAAATTAATTTTCAAGATCCTTTCTCAGTTTTTTTATCTCCAATCTCAGCTTAACGTTTTCTAGTTGGAGCTTTCTCTTTCTAAGGCGCAGTATGTCGTCCTCTTCTTTTCTGCAGCTGATGATTTCCCTTTAGCCTCGAGAGTTCCTTTCTTTCCAGCTAATGGCAATGCTTGGCGTCTAATTTTGTTGGCGTTGGTGTTTCGGCGACTGCCTGCCTGGGTAACATTTGTGGTGAGCTGGCACCACTATGTCCACTTACTTCTTCCGTTTCACCAATCCCAGTT